TCGCGGCTACTTCGCTCATGGGTAACTTATCAACATGGCATTTTCAATTTGCGGTGTATACGGGCGACGGCCTCCTAGAATTTGGAAGGGGAATCGTTAAGCCGAATCTATCCCGTCTCGATTGTCCTCACCCCTATTAATCACACCACAATCGGACTTGAGTGGTTTGATAGTTCACAGATGGCGCTTCAAAATGCGGTTCATTGCGGAAAATTCTTTTAATTCAAATAGGTGTTGTGATCAATTTAATTTAGGGGCCGAGAATTAATTTATACACCTAATAAATTAAGAAAAATTGAGGGTCAAACCAATAACTTCCTGACCAATTCCCATTGTTCTGTGCATCCAATATCCAATTACAAAAGAGAAAGATCCGTCAGCGTTACCAGGCTTTGTTCTTTCGTTTCTAGGCTTGAGTATTTCTTCCCTGTCCATGAACCATTTATGTAATGAACTCATTTTGAACCATGAACCATTTATCTAATGAACTCATTTTGAAAACCTATTAAACAAGTTTCAAAATGATACCTATTTTGTCCAAAGCCGACCATTTTTTATTGACTTATGAGAGTTTCAGGCGAAAATTGAATTTCCGTTTTTCACTTAAAAATTTAAATTTGGTTGCATTTTTCGATACTTCTAAGTGGATTAGACAAATATTTATACATTATTTTGAAGAGCATTTTGTATCCTTCAAAATGATGTATGATAAATCTGATTCAATTTAATTTCCATCAAGTTATTGCAGATTGTTTCCATTTTTTACGCTATGTCACACCTTAAAAATGACATTTTTTGCCAATTATCACGGCTTGAGACTTGACTAACGGGGATATATCATATGTCAGTTTGAAGGTCTTAATCGAGATCTTTAAATTGTATCCCATTTCATCTTCTCCATCCACTAGATCAATTGTCATTAGTGATAATGTATAAATTTTGGGATGTCACGTTTTGAAAATTTCCCATTTCCTTCTCTTAATAACGAGAGTTGCCTGATTTCTGTTCCAATCTGTGAAGATATTTTATACTCAAATGGAAGCACATTCAATTACCTTCAAATTGACGCCTGAATTATTTGATTATCGCCAATTTCCCTGCACTTATGGGCGTTTTTTTTGTATACACGAAAAAAACAGAAATTTATGGTTTTAACAATAAAATCGAATCAAAGCTGAATTTACAAAAATTCAGCTTTGATTCGATTTTTCTATAAGTATCGGTCAAATAAATAAAACTATTCATATGCTATTGTGAAGGGTATTTTATGTTCTTCAAAATGGTTTATGATAAATCTTATTCAATTCACTTTTTATCTTGTTATCGAAAATTGTTTACATTTTTTACGATAAATAGGTCACAACTTAAGAATGACATTTTTTATCAATTATCGACGCTTGAAACTTGACTAGCAGGCAAATATCATATGTCGAAAATGATATCCCATATTATCTATTCCATCCACTTGGTCAAATGTTACAAGTGATTATCTATCGATTTAATCATGGCACATTTTGAAAATTTCCAATTTCTTCCCCTGAAATCCCGAGAGTTTCTTGGGTTCTGTCCGAATCTGTCAATATATCTCGTACTCAGGTGGAAACACATTCCATTACGATCAAATTGATCCTGGAATTATTTAATCATAGCCACCTTTCATTAACTTATGATAGTTTTTACAAAAATAAAGTGAAACTTTATTTTTTATTGTCAAATAAAAAAAAATTCAACTTGGATTGGATTTTTCCATAACTGTCGGTTAAGCAAATGAAACTATGTATATACCGTTTTGAACTGCATTTTCTCAAGTCCTTCGAAATGGTGTATATTAACGCGTTGTAGAAAATGAGGTAGTGGGAATTGAAAAAATATGCTATATATCCATTTCGCGCAATTTAGCTCGCGCATTTAGCGCGTCCTGCCTCGTATAGAAAAATATTCATGAGGATTACCAAGCTTTATTCTTTGGTTTCTGTACTCACAATTCCTTCTTCCTCTTGCATGAACCATACAGGTAGTGTATTCATTGTAAAATATATTAATTAAGCTTCAAAATGACATCTGATTTGTCCCATTTTGTCAATTTTTCATCAACTTATGAGAGTTTTAGACGAAAATTGAATTTTCATGTTTGACTTGAAAAATAAATTTTGGTTGGATTTTTCGATCCACCTGAATGAATTAGGCGGGGATATCTATATTTTATTCGGAAGAGTATTGACTATTCTTCGAAATTGTGCAGAGTAAGTTGATTCAATGAAATTTTCATCTAGGTATATCAGATAGTTTCCACTTTTTACCTTATTTCACGTGGCGAAAATTACAGTTTTTGCCATTTACCGAAGCTGTAGATAGGACCTGTGGGGATAAATCATATGTCAATTTGAAGGTCTCGTCGACATCTTCCAATTGATACCCTATGTCATCTATTTCATCTACAAGATTAATTGTTCTACGCGATAATGTAGCGATTTTAGAATCTAATGTTTGGAAAATTTTCATAGTTTTTCTCTTAATGATGAGATTTGCTCGGTTTCTGTTCAAATCTGCGGAAATATTTTATATCAGGTGAGAATATATTAAATTATCTTGACATTTACCCAGAATTATTAGATTGAGGCTAATTTTCATGAACATATCTGAGTTTCTCATTCAAGAATTGAATTTCATAATGTTTATTGTAAATTCAGCTTCGATAATTATCGGTCAAATAAATGAAACTATTCATATGCGACTTCACAGGGTAGTTCATGTTATGGAGCCGAAAATTCATGGGAATGAGAATTTAAAAAATGACGTATATTGATCTCATGCAACCTAGTTAGAAAAAAATTATAATTTTAAAATTTCCATCCGAATAACGCGAAAACCGTTGAGATGATTTCGATCAGTATGCAATCAAAATCGAATAATTCTAATTCAATCCAATGATTCTAGGGCTCATGAAATGTCAACAAATCATGGAAATTTCACTTTAGCTTTTCGGGTTAATGACGAAAACTTTCTCCTTTGGGGTTAGGAAGTTAATAACATGTAAATGCATTGTTCGTACAAAAAAATCAAATACCATCGTTATTTGCGGTAAGATTGTTGAATTTTCAAAGAAAACTCACTTTTTCAATCATTTTCACACGTTTTACGCGAATAACTAACGAACCGCTGAGACGATCATCTTCATAAAGTAATCAGTGTGAAGTTGCATTCACACGCATCGTTTGAAACAAAATTTCAAATCGGATCATTACTCTAGAAGAAATAGTGCACTATGTGGAAAAAACATCATTTTTGATATTTTTTCATGTTTTTTGCCAGTTACAATATAATCTATATAGATGTCTGTCATGTCATATCAATCTATATATATTAATTATAGTATATGATAACCCTCGGCCAGGAAACGTAATGGTTCTCGACGCGGGGTTTGGAAGGTGGCGTTGCAACGCCTAGTTGGTCCGCACCAGGGTCTCTCAACTCCATACCAAAAATTGAAGCTAGGTAGTGGGGGGGGGGGGCAAAATAGTATGAAAATCTGCTGTTAATGTCTCTACCAGACCTTTGCGCAGACGCACCACGAATCTCTAGAAGTAAACAATTTTGGAATGGTAACCTCGAATAATTCAGGTAAACGAGGTAAACAGAGTGATAGTTTTCGGAGTGTGGAGTATGTGGGGGTAAAAAAGTAATTTTCGGAAATAATTGGGAACGATTTCACATAATGGGAAAGGGGAGTGTATAAAATAGTGCGATCAACATGTCGAGGAATGAAAACAACTCCAAGAAGTCAAAGTGCATCGTGCCAGGGTGTGAGTGTAAAACTCCTACGCACTATAATCGCATCCCGACTCGCGAGTGGGTCGCAAAAAACTGGATATTGGCAATTAAATCACCTCAGTTAAAAGATGTAAAAACTGCAGATCTGAATAAATATTTTGTGTGCTCAGCCCATTTCACAGACAGTGACTTTTCAAAAAATAGATCGAAACGAAGCCTTGAGATCCATGTTGTACCCACTAGAAATCTACCAGGGCCTTCTTCTAGCCAAGATGAAAGTGAAGATATCTATTCTATCGCGTGTACACCTTCCAGCGGTGAATCAGTACCACCCACAGTGCAAGAACCAACAGCAGTTCAGACGTCATCGCCAGTGTGAAGACCGATAGCAGTTCAGGAGCTACCGACAGTACAAGAACACCGAGTACTTCACAAATCACCAGCAGTCCAAAAACCACCGGCTGTTCAGAAACCCGCAACAGCTAGTTAATCTCCGGCAGTGCAAGGATTTATTAATCCTACGACTCACAGTGCAAAAAGAATTAATACCACCGATAGTGCAAGCTTATATTGATAAGATCACGAAAGAGAATGGAGATTTGAAAAGAAAACTTCGGAGTGAGTGTCAAAAATCACGGAGGTTCAACAACAAACTAATGGCTGCAAACAAAATTCTTCGGGAGGATCGAAATAGGCAGTGGGACAAGTTGTCTGATGCACAGAGAACCTTCATAGATTCGCCACTGAGAAATGCTGGCAGAAAAGTACAGGTATGCACTAGCATACATAGATTTTTCGACTATCGCAAAGTTTGATTCAGTTAGACTGTATATCGAACATTTATCATTTGCCATTGATAATTAATACTGAATTGGTTCTCAATATTATTACAGGGCCCAGGAGATACACGAATAAAGATAAAGCGGACTTAGCATAGCGAAGCGATCAACTTCGACTTATAACTTCCTCTCATCACATATGGTTTTGCCTGGAGCTACTACAAACGATTCAGTGCTGAAAAAAATTCTGTGTTCCACAGGACTCACAGAAGTTCTTTTGCAAAAGATGAGCCAACTTTCTGGACAATTAGGTGAAAAAGAGAGGGTTGTCACAATTATCTGGGGCGAGGTGCAATTATCGTTGCATGTGCAATACGACAAGTCCCAGGACATGATCATAGGCTTTGAAGATTGGGGTCGACGTAGGACTGCGAAATTTGCCGCTGGACAATGCCTGTGTTCTATGGATTTTGCGACTCTCTGATGAGGGAAGCAGAATTGCGAAGTTGTATTACGCAGGTGGTGACTGCTGTGGAAGGTGCAGGGTCTGATATTTTGGCCTCAATATGCGATCAATCATCCACAAACAGGGCAATCATTAAGAAATTAGTTGACGAATCCAATGCTCAATGCACGAATCAGCGTAAGTGGCTACTGCTGAATTTATTATTAGAGATTTAATACGAATTTCGAGTGATGTTTGCCCGAAGACCGAAAGTCCATGTTGCTTGTCCATGTTGCGTCGCGGACGCCAGGCGTACAGGACGCCTGGATTCCGGCGTCCGGGACGCCTCGTGTATGGGCCGCTTAAGATGCTCAAACTCCGAGAGAATTTTTTGATGGAAATATAAAAGTATTGATCAGTGTGTATCAGATTATTCGACATTGGATTTTTTATCGAGAGTAGAACTCAGGAATTGTCAAATATTTGTATATAATAGCATAAAAAATTATTCATTGCAGGGAGTACATTCTTGGTTGGTATCAGTCAAATTATTCCTATCATGGATCCATCACACATTATCAAGGGTACTCGAAATAATCTATTGACTAAATACCTGGAGAAGGATTACAATGCAAACCGAAGAAGTTCCCAGCCGAATTCAAAGAAGAGCAAGATTGGCGAAGGGACTGATATGACAACCGTAGACAGAGAAAGGAAGCTAGTTCGTTGGTCAGTGATTGAAGAGGCCTACAAAATCGACCAAATGACCAATGGGTTTGAACCTCAAATGAAGAAACTAACGTATAAACACATTTACGGCGATAGTAAAAGGAAAATGAGGGTGAAATACGCTGTCCAGGTGTTGAGTAACACAGTTGCAAAATGCATCGAGTCATTGGCTGGCAGAAGTAAGTGATTTATAACCATTTAAAATTATATTTTATCCAAAATTTGTAAAATTTTACAATAAACCGTGAATTCAGTTGAGTAATTTCCAAATTGAAGACATCAAATTGGTCGCCTCGATATGCCATCTCATTTTGTTACTTTCGATATTCAATGATATTCATATTCAATATTAAAAATCTAGTGGGAATTTAGTAGTGAACTTTTCCGTAAAGAAAAAACCGAGTTTTCAGCAAAACATTCACTGGGATTTCATTATCTTCTTCCAATTTTAACATATTTAATCGAATGCATCACCTTCGAATCAGTGGAATAGTCTTTTATCCCCTGTCTCTACTTCAATCATCAATCAATTGATAATCCGCCAATACTAAATAGATAAAATTCAGAATGTTGATATTTATCAATGAAATATATGAATTGTATATATGCATTAGGATAGGAATTTTTCCTTTGTTATTGCTTCACCTGCCCAGTTCTGTCTAGTTTAGAATAATATATGCCAATTTTTTTCTGTCCATTCAGGTCTACACGACTCACTCAGGATCTCCAATAACCACCAAATCCATCGCATCGTCATACATAATTAAACTAGCTTCATCTATATTCATTATTTATAAATCTTCGCTCGAATTCACTAATTTAATTCTTTATGTCGTGTATCAATATTTATCTAGGATAAATTGTATATATTCTATATATAAACAGAAAGAGACATTCAAATTTTCTTGGAATGATGGACAAAATAAATTAGTAAAAAATCCTAGTACATCAAGGATATTTTACGAAAATTAAACGGTTCAATAATAAGTTGATTGGTGGATAGAAAATTAATAAGAAATAGATTAACTAGAAGTGAAGAGTTGATTGTTTTTTTTTAACCTTTCCCTCTTCCCCGAAACATCCTTGTGGCTGCGGATAAAAATCCTCATAATATTGTCTGTATAAATATGACAATATTAATCCTCAGTATAACAAACATGCCAAGTATTTAACATCTCACGTAAGAAAACTTATTCGAGAAAAACTTTGCGGAACCAGAGAAGAAATCGAGTGGATTCCTATTGAATTCTTATTGAAAATTCCATTAGTTGTTCGTAAATTCTATAGAACAGTTCCTCAACTTTTCTGCAATTTTTTTCAGAATACAAAATGTAAATGAGAAGAAATGCTTTTATAATAAGAACTATCGTACAATAAAAATTTGTAGAATTCTATCTTTCCGTTTTTTTCTATTGGGACATCTGTTAAAAATCTGGTGAGTTATTGTTGATTCCCAGGATGGCGCGGAAGGGATGAGTGTAGATTGGGTTATTATTTAACAAATAACACCGGTGATTAAGGCCTGAGCCGAGTCAAATCATTTAGGAATAATTTAAAGTTGACTGTACACACACAAATAAATTAACTGTTTTCCCCTATAGAAAAATCCGTGACCGTGACGCTGGTTCTTTTGCGGGTTTTCACGCTCATTCCGTTCTCCCTGTTTGATGGACCCTATATATTTTATCTCTATTCGAAAACTTATTAAATAAGCTTCAAATTGACACGTGAATCATTTGATTCTGATTATTTTTCATTAAGTTATGACACTTTTAGGCAGAAATTGTATTCTCGTGTTTTACTTGAAAAGTGAACTTCGGCTGGATTTTTCTCTTTTTAAGTCAAATAAAAAAAAACGATATAACATTTTGAAGCACATCATTCGTTTTTCAAATTGTGATGTGTTGGATACGATTCGGTTGAATTTTCATGAAGTTATTGAACATTGTTTTTCTTCTGAACGTAATGTGACACTCTAAAATTCGGTCTTTTCATCGATTATCGGACCTTTGAACTCGACTAATGTGGCTTTATTATATATCAATTTAAAGATCTCGTTGAGATGTAAACGAGATCTTTAAAATGGCCTCTCATTTTTTTTCATTCTATCCACTTGATGATCAGTTATGGGTGATTATGTGTCGAATTTCACATGTCACAAATTTAAAATTTGTTATTTTTTCAATGTTTTGTCCTGATTTACAGTTCTCTGGCTCAATTACTAGCTGAAATATTATATTGGATGTGAAGGTAATTAAATAACCTTCAAATTGAGAGGTGAATCGTTCAATTTCAACCATTTTTAACAGAGTTATGAGGGTTTTTTCAGCAAAAATGGATTTTTTCATGTTTATTCAAAAAATCAACTTTGATTGGATTTTTCCATTCTTTCGACTCAAATCAACAAAATATCGCTATATCACCTGGAAGAGCATTATTCCTTCTTCAAATAGTGATATACTGAATACGATTTTGGTTGAATTTTCATGAAGTTATTGAGCATTGTTTCTCTTTTGAACGACATGTCACATCATAAAATTCGCCTNAATTCTATCTTTCCGTTTTTTTCTATTGGGACATCTGTTAAAAATCTGGTGAGTTATTGTTGATTCCCAGGATGGCGCGGAAGGGATGAGTGTAGATTGGGTTATTATTTAACAAATAACACCGGTGATTAAGGCCTGAGCCGAGTCAAATCATTTAGGAATAATTTAAAGTTGACTGTACACACACAAATAAATTAACTGTTTTCCCCTATAGAAAAATCCGTGACCGTGACGCTGGTTCTTTTGCGGGTTTTCACGCTCATTCCGTTCTCCCTGTTTGATGGACCCTATATATTTTATCTCTATTCGAAAACTTATTAAATAAGCTTCAAATTGACACGTGAATCATTTGATTCTGATTATTTTTCATTAAGTTATGACACTTTTAGGCAGAAATTGTATTCTCGTGTTTTACTTGAAAAGTGAACTTCGGCTGGATTTTTCTCTTTTTAAGTCAAATAAAAAAAAACGATATAACATTTTGAAGCACATCATTCGTTTTTCAAATTGTGATGTGTTGGATACGATTCGGTTGAATTTTCATGAAGTTATTGAACATTGTTTTTCTTCTGAACGTAATGTGACACTCTAAAATTCGGTCTTTTCATCGATTATCGGACCTTTGAACTCGACTAATGTGGCTTTATTATATATCAATTTAAAGATCTCGTTGAGATGTAAACGAGATCTTTAAAATGGCCTCTCATTTTTTTTCATTCTATCCACTTGATGATCAGTTATGGGTGATTATGTGTCGAATTTCACATGTCACAAATTTAAAATTTGTTATTTTTTCAATGTTTTGTCCTGATTTACAGTTCTCTGGCTCAATTACTAGCTGAAATATTATATTGGATGTGAAGGTAATTAAATAACCTTCAAATTGAGAGGTGAATCGTTCAATTTCAACCATTTTTAACAGAGTTATGAGGGTTTTTTCAGCAAAAATGGATTTTTTCATGTTTATTCAAAAAATCAACTTTGATTGGATTTTTCCATTCTTTCGACTCAAATCAACAAAATATCGCTATATCACCTGGAAGAGCATTATTCCTTCTTCAAATAGTGATATACTGAATACGATTTTGGTTGAATTTTCATGAAGTTATTGAGCATTGTTTCTCTTTTGAACGACATGTCACATCATAAAATTCGCCTTTTTTATCGATTATCGGACCTTTGGACTTGACTAATGAGGCTTTATCATACACCATTTTGAAGATCGCAACGAGATCTTCAGAAGGCCGCCTCATTTTTCTCATTCTATCTACTTGATCAATTGTTATGGGGGATTATATGCCGAATTTCGCATGTGACAAATTGAAAATTTGCCATTTTTTAGTGTTTCCCCCTGAATTATTGTTCTTTGGCTCCATCATTATTTGAACTTTCATATCAGTTGTGGAGGATATCAAATTACCTTGAAATTGAGAGGTGAATTGTTCAATTGCGACCATTTTTCACCGAGTTATGAGAGTTTTTGGCAGAAATTGATTTTTTTATGGTTTATTCGAAAAATCAACTTTGACTGGATTTTTCCATTCTTTCCAGTCAAAGCAATCAAAATGTTAATAGATCATCTGGCAGGAGATTATTTGTTCTTCAAATTGTGATGTATTAAATACGATTTGGCTGAATTCTCATGAAGTTATTGGACATTGTTTCCCTTTTGAACGTCATGTCACATCCTAAAATTTGCTGTTTTCATCAATTATCGGACCTTTGGGCATAACAAATGAAGTTTTATCATGCACCATTTTGAAGATCTTAACGATTTCTTGAAAAATGACGCCCCGTTCTTGTCATTCCATCCATTTAATCAATTGTTATGGGTGATGATGTGTCGAATTTCGCATGTCACAAAATGGAAATTTCCTATTTTTGGATTTATTACCAGCGGTAATCTCATATCCGTTGTGAAGCTTATTCGATAAGCTTGCAATTAAGAGGTAAAACGTCCGATTACGATCGCTCCTCACAGAATCATGGGAGGTCTAACAAAAAATTCGATTTTTATATGTTTCTGTAAAAATTGAACTTTTGTTGGATCTACCTATATTTTCAAGGCAAATAAATGCAAATATCAAAGCTACTGATATTTCATTTGGTCCATTTATTTCGATCATTAGAATTTCGATTTCATTAGTATATTGGTGAAGTGGTCAACAGAGTGAAATGGTTTTCATGGAATTTAACTGAAGTTGGTGCCTTCAAGAAGCATTCAAGGTTAATTGTGAAATCGAAGATGATCACTTATTCATTGGATTATGTTCTGAATCAGACGGGTAATTGATTGATCAACAGCATAGATTGATATTGAAAAGATTGACGAGATTTTGGTCCATAATATATGCCTAGAAACGGTTTGTTATATCATATTTATCATATTTGAAAAAGGCTGTGGTAAGTAGAATTTCATCCTATAGCACTTTTTTAATTTTGAACGATCCCCTATAGAAAAATCCGTGTCCGCAACCGAGGGTCACCCATTGATTTTTGCTTCAATTCGCGGCTTCCTCTTCGACGTAGCATATATATGGTATACTCATTCACAAATTGACTCCTGATTCATCCAAATCCGACCATTTTTCATTGACTTACAAGAGTTTTAGGCAAAAAATGAATTTTTATAGTTTACTTGAAAAATTAACTATGGACGGATTTTTTGGTACTTCTAAGTAGACTAGACGAGAATATTCATACATTATTTTCTCAAATTTTCATCGAGTTATTGCAGATTGTTTCCATTTTGTCCGTTATGTCACACCTCAAAAATGACAGTTGTTACTATTTATCGAGGCCTTAGACATGACCAACGGGGATTTATCATATGTCACTTTGGAGATTTCATCGAGATTTTTAAATTCATATACTATATTATCTACCCTATCACCTAGGTTAATTGCTGTAAGCGATAATGTAGCGATTTTAACATGACACGTTTTAAAAATGTCCATGTTTTTCCTTGGAATGGCCAAATTCACTCGATTTGAGTTGGAATCTGTGAAGATATTTCATAATTATGTGAAAATATGTTGAATTACCCAGGAATTGACTTGTGATTTATTCAATTATCTTCATTTTTTATTCACTTATGAGGGTTTTATAGGCAAAAAATTCAATTGTTATGGTTGACCCTAAAAATTGAGTTTGGTTGGGGTTTTCGGTACTTCCAAGCGGACTAGACGCGAATATTCATCCACTACTTTGAAGCGCATTTTATGTTCTTCAAAATGATGAATCATTTAATCCAATTTTCATTGAAATATTGCAGATTATTTCCATTTTTTCCGTTATGTCACACCTCAAAAATGACAGTTTTTACTATTTATCGAATCTTTAAACTTGACCAACGGGGATTTATCATATGTCAATTTGAAGGTCTCATCGAGATCTTCAAATTGATACCCTATATTATCTGCTCCATCACATAAATCAATTGTTAT